ATGGGAAGGTGCACGCCCGCGGCCAGGTGGGGCGGGTCGATTGCCGCCCAGGGGGACCGGGCAAAGGAAAGGGAGAAAAGGAGGGGGGGGGGGGGCAGAGGACGGGTCGGACGTACCAGCTCCGCGGTCGGGGTCGTTTCGTGCACGTGCCCCAGCAGGTGCAGCAGCGAATGCGCCAGCAGCCGCTGCAGGTGCCGGTCGATGGTGGAGTTGGAGAGGCGCGCATCGCGGCTGGCGCGCTCCACCGACAGGACAATGACCCCCAGGTGGCAGGGGTCGAAGCGGGACGCCGGCTCGAAGGCCTCGTCATTGGAGCTGAAGCCGCTCTCAATGGCATTGAGGCTGCGCGCCGGCGGGGTGACCGCCTGCGGCCGGCGAAGGGTCCCCTTGTCGAAGAGGTCCGAGTCGAAGACGCTCAGCGACTCGCCGGTGACCTTGCAGATGTTGTAGGCCACCATGTGGGCATCGGCATCGCCCGGGGGCTGGGGGATGGGGAAGCCCTGGGGGTGGTGGAACTGCGTGCCGAGCGCAGGGCGGTGTGGAGGTGGGGGAGGACGGGTCAGGTGCTGGGGCGGGGGCGGGGGCGGGGGCGGGGGCGGGGACGGGGGCGGGGGCGGGAGGACCAGCGCAGGCCAGGTGCTGGGAGGGGGTGAGAGGACCAGCGCAGGCCAGGCGCCAGTGGCCTTGCCGAACCGGCCCAGGCCGGACGCCAGAGGCCCAGGCCCAGGGCCCGACCGGGGCGCACCTTGTTCGAGGGGAAGGACAGCACGTCGGTCGGGGCGTTGGTCTTCTGGTACATGTGGTTCAGGCGCCGGATGACCGCATTGTTGGTGAGGATGATGTCCACCGACAGGCGCGAGGCCCGGCTCCCGTCGCGGCACAGGAGCTCCTGCACGGCGGGCGAGAACTCCCGCGGGCCGGCCTCCGGCATGTCGGCCGGGCTGTCGGCCGTCGGCACCGGCGGCAGGCTGCGCAGCGTCGGCGATGTCTGGCTCAGGGGCTTGAGGCCGCGCATCTTCTGGAACTTGGCGTACGTCGGCAGGAGATTCGTCAGGTTCGGGTCGTTGCGGTCCAGCAGCCGCGCGAAGGTGCGCATCGGCTCGGCCCAGGCCGGCGCCGCGGTGGCATACAGCAGGGACTTGGTCCACATGCGGATCGGCTCGCGGTGGAGGTTCACCCCGCGGTGCCGGTAGACATTGATGAAGAAGTGGGACATATCTCTCGGAAGGGGGGGGGGGGGGGGGAGGGGGTGCGACCGTGCTCCAGGCGGAGGGAGGGAGGAGAGCAGCACGGCTCCAGGTGCAGCAGGGGCGGGGGCGGGGCGAGAGGGGAAGGGAGAGCAAGGAAGCAGGACCTGGGCGCCCCGGCGAGCCGCCGGACCGGCCACCCCGGTGCCCGAAAGCCGGGGGCCGATCTCGGCTGCCGGCCGTCGCGGTGCCGGCCGAAGGGAGGGAGCCGGAGATGGCGACGCGTGGGGCGTGTCACGCCCCCGCCCGTCTTCTTGCCCATCGCCCCGGCCCCCGGGGCAGGGTGCGGGATGCGCCGGGCGCGCTGGCCCCGCGACATGATGCTTCGATGTGCGCGTGTGCGTGCGACAAACGCGCGAGCAAGCTAGCAACCAAGCGACCGACCGACCGGGGGCCCGGGCGGCCGACCGACCGGGGGCCCGGGCGGCCGACCGACCCGGCCACCAAGCGACAAGCCATCGTGGGCTGGGGGGGGGGGGGCGCGAGGGAACGTGTGGGCCCGAGCGCGGGGAGCTTGCGGTGTCATGTGAGGGCATATCACGCGCGGGCCTGGGATTGTGGATGATGTGTGTCGCCCGGGCATGTCCAAGCCCGATTGATGATCGGTGACGGGGGGGGGGGGGTGGGGCCAGAGCGGGTGTGCGGCATCGGCGCTGATCGGGCCCCATTCGGCCCTTTCCCCCGGCCCCGGGCTGGGATCCAGGAGGCCGGCGCGTGAGGACACGCCACCGGCGCGCCATGCAGGCGTAGGCGGAGAATGGGACCCGGAGAAAGAGGCCGAGCGAGAGCCGGAGGGGGAGTAGCGGGCATTTGGCGCGCCGGGCCGGGGCATCTGGCCGCCTCCGCCGATCCACATCCCCCTGCTGCTGCTGCTGCTTCCGCCACGCCCCTCCCCGCCCCCCCCGCCCCTGACCCCGCCCCCCTCCCCCCCCCCCCCCCGCTCAACCCATTACCATGTCGCTGCTCCGGCTCTCGGCCCTTGCTGCCCCCATGGTGCCCGGCCTTCGGGCCCGCCTCGCTGCGGGCACCCGCTCGATGAGCGCCCTCGTGCCGATGGTGGTCGATCAGACGGTGCGCCTCCGATCCCGGAGTCTCCCTCGACCTTGCGGTCGCCTCCTGCTGCCCCCTTTCCCGGAATACCCCGCTGACGGGCTGTCTTTAACCTTCACCCGGCCGGGGCCCAGCCTCGCGGCGAGCGCGCCTTCGACATCTACTCGCGCCTCCTGCAGGAGCGCATCATCATGCTGACCGGCGAGGTACGCCGCGCCGTCGCCCTCCCCCGGGGCAGCCATGGCACTTCGATCGCCCCTGCCCGCCTACGCCCCCTGCCCGGTGTGCTGCCGCACGCGCGGTGCCGGCCCCGCCGGCCCGGATGCTTGTGCCATCTGCTCGTCCGGCTGACCCCTCGGTGCTGCACGATTCCCTCCCCGCTGGCCGACGCGCGCACGGCCCCCCCCCCACGGCCGTCCAACCACCGCGCGCGCGCATGGTCGCCCCCCAAACAGGTGAATGACGCCGTGGCCTCGGTGGTGGTGGCGCAGATGCTTTACCTGGAGTCCGACGCGCCCGAGCGCCCCATCCATCTGTACATCAACAGCCCCGGCGGGTCGGTCAGCGCCGGCATGGCCATCTACGACACGATGCAGGTACGCGCGCGCGCACGTGCGCCGGGCAGGCCGGCCGGCCCCCGGCCACCGGGGCCCCCCGAGCGGAGGGCATGCGGCCTCGGCGGCCGCCTATCGGCATATGTTCCTGCCCCTCTGCCGCCGGGCCTGTGCGGACCGTGTGTGTGTGCAAGGCTCTGACCACATGTCCCCCCGCCCTCCCTCCACACGCCCCCCCCCCCCCCCGCCCCGCCCCCCGACCGCACGGCGCCTCGCGGCCGGCAGTTCATCCGGTCGCCGGTGCACACCCTCTGCATGGGCCAGGCCTGCTCCATGGGGTCACTGCTGCTGGCGGCCGGCGAGCCGGGCGCGCGGGAATGCCTGCCCCATGCGCGTGTCATGCTGCACCAGCCGCAGGGCGCGGCCTCCGGGTCGGCGGCCGATGTGGCCATCGCCGCGCGCGAGGCCCTCCACTGGCGCTGGCGCATCGCCGCCCTGTATGGGACCCACTGCCGGCGGAATCCGGCCGACGTGGACCGCGTCCTGGACCGCGACACCTACCTGGATGCGGAGGACGCCGTGCTCATGGGGCTGGTGGACCGGGTGGTGACGCGGCGGGCGGCAGCCGACTCGGCCGCGGCCCCCGGGCCCGGCGTCGATGTCCTTGGCCCGATGATTCCGCCGGGTGCCGGCAAGAAGGAGGCCGCGCCGGCCGGCCAGCCGGCCGCTCAGCCGGCCCCCGCGACCGTGGCTCCGACCCCCCAGCCGGACCTGTGATGCCCGGGCCTGGGGCCGCGCCGGCCCCCGCGGCAGGCAGGGCCCGGACACCGACCCGGAGGTGAGGCGCCCGACCGGCGCCCGAGCGGGAATCCCCACCGAGCCGGCGAGAGAGGGGGGCGCGGGCAGATCGCGGGCACGCGGTCCGACAGCTCGGGGGCCGCCCGGCCGCGGCTGGCTGGCGTGTCAGAACACCGGCTGTTCCCCCCCCCATACATGCCCCTTCCTTTCCCTGGGGCTCCCACCCGCCATTCCACCGTGGCATGCGCCCGGGCGTGGACCGCCCTGCATTGCTTCGCACGCACGGACACAAGTCTACAAACACACATTCACACATGCCGGGAATATAAAAGGCGCCTTTATTGTGTGTGTGTGTGTTCCAGAGCGGGGGGGGGGGGCCTCCCCGCACGGCAGGGCAAGGCCACAGGCGCGGCCTTTCGTTGGCGCGCGCGCGCGCGCGCCCGGCCCCGAGGTGCCGGCCCTCGCGTAAGGCGGGAGCTGGCCGCGATCGCGGTCAGGGGCCGGGTGCCCACCCTGGGGGTTGCCGGGAGAAAATAACGTGCGAGCGTGGGCATGTCCCGGTGCATCGGGCCCGGGCATTCCCGGGCCCCTATACAGGGGGCGGGCGGCGGACCAACCACCAGCCGCGCCCCGGGCGCAGGGGGGGGGG